AGTAACAGTGTTGCCAAAGTTACAATTGCCAGGAGAAATTAGTCTCAATAATAACAGGGTGAAAGGCAAGTGGTAAAGGCATGTCGAGTTATAAAGCATAAGAGACACAAAGGCAATGAGGGAAAAAAGAACCCAGCACTTGATTGAGAGCAAATTAGAAAGAAATGGACCAAGGGAAGTTGTCTGCCCCAGATAAATTTTAACTCCTGTTATTAATCAGTCCAGACAGTTAAAAGCTCCGTCTAGCCTATCTTCCATCACTGCTTCCCTTCAGGCTTCATTTAGGAAAATTATCATAGACTGTATCCCACATTTGTCTGTAAACCTGTTTTAAACTCAAGGTCTCCTCTTAGTCTTTAATAACAATAACTATTTGAAATTCAAAATGGTCCGCACTGGTCTGATACATGGACAAGTCACCAGGCTCAACAAAGAAAAACAGACATTCGTACACAAAGCCAGGTTAGAATCACTAATTACATGCATTTGGACTGTGGGAGGAGGCCATAGTGCTCAGAGAGAAACCACACTGGCACAGGAATAACATTCAAACGCCACACAGAAGCCCAGAGAAGTCTTTACTGAGAGGCAATGATGCTTATTGCTCTGTTGGAAGCATCATGAGGATATCTTTTAATTACATGTGCACACAACCTGGCAGGTGTATATCATTAGAGTTTTTCCATCAACTAAAATATTGGTGAGTTGCAATTTTTACTCCTAGAGGACAAGTCAGGGAATTAAGACATACTTTTGGAAAGTTACCATTAAATACTCACCTGAACATATAATGATACATGACAATGGAAAGAGAAAAAAAAAACAGGTTGGAGCATAAAAAGGAGGACACCAAACGTTTTCAGACAAGATCCCAAAAATCATTAATTGTCCTGAGACCAGACATCACTGCCTTCCCAGTGTCTTATTTTGGCACACAACCCACAGCTCCAGATTAGAGCCTGTATAGCTTTATATTTCATATTTCTATATAGTTTTCATATTTATATCCTGTTCATAGCCTGTACATAGTTTGTACACTCACTACAGCCTGTACATACTGATAGTTATAGCATATTCATAACATACCTTCATACCGTGTACATTGCAACATACCTATAACAGACCCATTTCTGTAATATATCTATATATCTATATTATTGCTAATATATATTTTGTAATATATCTATATTGTGGCTAAAGCATTTTCTGGATGGATGCAAACTGCATTTCGTTGCCTTGTACTTGTGACATGTGCAATGACAATAAAGTTGAATTCTATTATAATTCTATTCTATCAGCTTTAGCTGTAGCTCTCACACAGGAACACAGTCTCACACAACTCCGCAACAGTCACACTTTGCAACAAAGGAAACTGTAAATGCTAAATTGTAATGACATTCCCAGAAACAGAACCCTCGGTGAGATCGAGGAAATGCAGACTGAGTGCAGAGAGCAGGTCAATACAGACTGAAAGCTGATAAAATAGAAAAAAACAACAACAAAAAAAACCCCAGGAAGGTTGTGCAAACACATTAGTGTTACTATTGTAACCTTATTGTTAGCCTAATCAAGAAAGAGGTGATTTCATACTTCACATGAGTAGCAGATTGCTAGTTCACTTAAGCAACAAACGGCAAGCAAAGTTCAGAAGAACTGAACACCTAACTGTATTTCGCAAAGAGCACAAAAAAAGCTCTTCAGCTGAAGTAGTGGGTGTGTCACTGGACTTGGAC